TAGTGTTTCAATTGGGTTCTCTTAAAGCACCTAGACCAGATGGGTACCCTGGTTTCTTTTACCATTAGTATTGGGGTGTGATTGGGAAGGATGTATGTACAGCAGTTCGGAATTTTTTTGAGACTGGGTTGCTGTTGAACGAGTTAAACCAAACTAACTTGGTTTTAATCCCAAAGGTTACGACACCTGAGATGTTTTTGCATTTCCGACCAATCAGTTTATGCAACTTTACACTCACAATCATTACCAAAGTTATGGTGATTCGCTTGAAGAAAGTTTAGGGAGTGATTGTTTCTCCAACCCAGTAGGCGTTTGTTCCTAGATGCATGATCCAAAACAACATTTTGGTGGCCCATGAAGCTTTTCATTATCTTAAATTGCACAAAAGGGGCACACAGTCGGACATGACTGCCAAGCTTGATTTCAACAAAGCCTATGATAAGGTCCAATGAGATTTTCTGGAAGAGGTTTTGCATAAGATAGGCTTTCATGAAATGTGGATTAATTGGGTGATGCAATGTGTGTCCACGATTACTTTTTCCGTGATTGTGAATGGGGTTGAGTGAACAACCTTTACACTTTCTAGAGGCATCCGACAAGGGGACCTTCTTTCTCCTTACCTATTTCTCCTTGTGGTAGAGGTTTTATCCAAACTCCTCCAACAGAGCTTGGAAGAAAAGAGATTCTCTGGCATTAAACTTAGTAGAGGTTACCCAATGCTATCACATCTTTTCTTTGCCGACGATGTTCTCTTGTTTCTCAAAGCGGATGCGGTTCAATGTCAAGAAATTCTCAGAATTTTAGATGTTTACAGTCGCGCTTCGAGCCAACAAATTAACTTTGAAAAGTCAGGAATCCAATTCTCAGCTAACACTAGTGCAGAGCTTCAAAGAGAAGTCTGTGATGTCATGCGCATTGCCCCTGTTCAACCAGATTCAAGATATTTGGGTTTACCAACTTGTTGGGAAAGATCCAAATGTGAGACCTACAATTTCATTATAGAGAAGGTGTGTGACAAGCTTCAAATCGGTTGCCCAAGCTATTCCCTCCTACGCAATGGCTTGCTTCCTTTTTCCAAAACAGTTATATGCTGAATTAAATTCGCTATTGAGCAACTTCTGGTGGAAAGGTGACCCTGAGAGCAAAGGCATTTATTGGGCCGCGTGGGAGAAGATGACCATGCCCAATAAGGATACTCATAATCACTTACAAATCATCTACAAATTACATACTTAATTAAGATTGAACTAAAAGATTTACTTTTCATCTTAAAATAAGGATTGTTTTGAGAGAATTGACTATTTTAATTATTTTTTATTTTTTATAAAAAGAAATGAAAAAAAAATAAAAGAAGAAATTAATTTTTTTATAATTTTTTGGATGAATTACAAATACATCCCTTGAAGTTTACTTAAAATACAGATTGCGCCCTTGTGGTTTGTAAAATTACAAATACCTCTTTGTTAGTATTTTTTTATTAACAGAATTAACTAAAAAAATGAAATTCATAATTGTTCTCCTATACAATAATAAAATTACCTAAATTATTAATCGAAACATATTTCTAACATTATTAAAAACTGTTAATTGACTTGATAATTTATTAATAAAATGAGCAATTTATTATGAAATTAGAAATCTTAGGAGTGAAATGTAATTTTTAAAACTACAAAGAGTAATTTGTATTTTAATCAAACCTTAAAAGGTATGTTTATAATTTATACTAATTTTAAAAAATCTTTTCAATTATTTAACCCATTATAAAACAAGCCCAAGTCCTATTGATAAATGAGGTAGTTGGCAAGTCAAGTAATTCATACAATTGAAGAATTGCACAGTTTTTGCAAATCATAGAAATCAATCGTATGAAAACATTAATGGGACCCGTGCATGTAATCAACAACTTTATTATTAGATAATGTTAGGAATGTCAAATTTTTTATCAAATAAATGGCCAAATGTCTCATATGAGTGTGAATTCGCAATTTTGTAAACCTTACATCTATGTCAGACATTTAATCATTTATTTGATAGAAAATTTAGAATTTATAACATTTTTTTATTATTAATCTAGGGAAACACTTAAAAAGGTGTGTGGCATAATTAAATGCGTATATCATAAGGGGGTATGCATTATAAAATTCTTCTATGTATATAAATGTATAAATATATTCAAATTGCATGCAACATTTGGTAGTACCATATGGTCAATGGAGTGAATCAAATATGGTCCGAATGTCAAACCCTTACCATAAGTTCATAAGTACAGGTCCATTTGACTGTGGAGTTAATTAACAATATCACGTTCATGCATGCTCCATATGTTGATAATCTATGCAATATTATTATAATATCAATAAGCCTATGGATATAGAACCGATCACATAATTAACACATAAAATATAGGTAAAACAATCTGAGTGAAATTGTATATTTTATGATGGATTCCACCATCTTACATGTATGGTCAAGATTGTTTTATATGATTGGTTCTGTAATTAGTTTTGTGTATATAGTCTTATTATTATTATCATTATTATTATTATTATTATTATTATATAATGTAAACATAGAAATGGGTGTCAATGTCTATTTGAAGCTATGACACCTATTTTTTTCTTGTTCAAATTATTCTTTGCAGTTGTCCTATTATTATTATTTTTTTAAAAAAATAAATTGATTTATTTATTTTTTTTTCCCCTTCATTTAGATTCAACTTATTAAATTTTAAAAAATGAACAATTAAAGGTTTGATGTCTTAAATCTTCATCATAGCACACCAAATGAGGTGTACACACCTTATTTTCATATATCTAACTATACATGTACACCCTTAATTATGGCATGCCATGTCAAGAAATGTTGGGTTTTTTTATTAAAATAAATAAAAGAACAAAATGTTTTTATTGTAATTTTCTGGCTATGTTATAAAGTCCTGAATTTATGCAAGAAATGATGTTGTTATAATTCAAATGTATACAAATATTTAAATTGTCAAGTAAGTGATGATTCGAATGTCATTTATATTTATTTATTTAATTTTTTTTGGATAACCTGAAAGTTATAAAACTCATTATGATTTATAATTGCAAAAATTTCATTACCGCATATTATTATGTATCAATGTATTTATTTATTTACGTTTAACATTTTTCATAACAAACTATTAATTATTAGCTGATAAAAAATTTAAGTTATTAAAAAAATTATTTTATTATTTATATTCTCAAAAAAATGAGATTGTTAGATTCTTCCTAATGATGAGTAAAAAACAGATAAAACAACTCTCACCCCCTTTATAACTAACAACTATTCATACACAGAGGCCAGCACCAATCAGTGATGCAGCATTGCTATCAATACAAGTGGAAATACAGTCGAATATGTGAGACAAGTTGTAACTTACAACCACTAATCAAAAGATATCACACCTTACTCTTATGTTTGTGTACATCATTCAATACTATTACAATAATCATATTTATATAACATAATTGATATATCATGTGTGATGTAGAACAAGTAGTCGAAAATTTTTTGGAACAATTAGACCGCTAAAAGGCAAGAAAGAAACCAAATTCAGAACAATAGCGGCACTTTCGGGACGAGCTCGGAATTGTCTCAAATTTGATAGTTTGATTGGAAACGGCGTATTAAATCGAAGTCATTGTCGTTCTTGGTGATGACGAACGGTGGATTTTAGCCAAATTCCTTCATTTAGGCCTTTAAATTAGTGATTTTGCCGTATTAGGAAAGTTTCATTTTGGGAATAATTTTATTTTGGAAAGTTTGTTTTTAGCGCCGTCTATATTAGCGCGTTTCTATTGTTTCCTAGTATGCAAATTTGGGCTTAACTCATATTTTCTATTTTTTGTAATTTTCTATTTATTTTCGTAGCTAGTAAGGAATTATCCTAATTCCTTATTTCCTTCTTTAATTAGGGTTCAGTTTATTATAAATACGCATGTATGCCTTAGGGCATATCATCTTTGATGCAATATAATTTAGTTCTTGAATTTTTTTTTTCTTCCTTGTAGATTCAATGATTTTGTTTGTCTGCTAGAACGATATTTAACCTTGTGTGATTTATTCTGTTGCGTCAATGTGAATCGTCACCTATCACACCTTACCCTATGTCTATTGTTTTTACTGCAATGATATCAACTTACAAGACAAACCAAGTATGGTATTCCTTCAGTTCCAAATTGTTAGTGTATTTTCAGTATTCATAACCTTTAATTAGGTCAATATATAATGTATTTTTGTAAAAGATCTCAATTAATTCTTGTAAATAGTCTTTAAAATTGTTGAAAAAATAGTAAACTAAAAAATATAAATTATTTTTTAAGATGTTTGAAATAGTGAAAAATGACTAACAATTTGAGACATGGAGTATAAAAATATGATCATTGTAACATCATTGTTGCTTTCAATGAGGTCAGATTCAACCTCATTCTTTACTGGTCATATATTACCTCATTTGGGAGCACAAGCTTTTAAGCCACCTTTGGTTAGCATTAGTGAAATGTCCAATGACTTGAAGAAAAGATATGATATCATACCATACACACAATAATTTATGACCACCTCATTGATTCCAAAGAAATACAAAAATAGATGTATAACAACTTTCTAGTGCATAACAACTTCAATGTCACCAAGTACAAATGCTTTAAAATTCAATACAAGTTCACAAATCCGTCAAAGATTTGTTTATATCAAATCCAGCAACTAATAAAATCAAGTTGAAGTCTTTTTCTTCTAATCTGAACCAACCCCAAGTCAATTACTCATCTGGCAATGGGAGCTCTTTTTCCTGAGTTTTGGAACTCATGGATATAATTACGAAATGGACTTGCACAAGAAGGCATGGAAGGGGGGGGATCGAGCATACTTGTCTCAGGAGTGCCACCATCTCTCACAATAAAAGCGGTTACCATACCCCAGGTAAGATGATGAATCACGTGACAATGCCACATCCATACACCTGCCAAAATCATCCATGTTCAATTTCGTCCTTGACATTTGAAACTTTTTTGATGCATACGACACACACCAAAAGTTCAGTTAAAATTTCGAATGTGATACTAGGCAGGCAATACTTGATCCTTGTTGTTCACAGCCCAAACAAGCTCAAGAACAACTAGAAGTAGCCAACCAAATTGCTTTTCGTTTCTTTCTTTATGATGGATCTTTTATTTTTAAGTCGTAAGACAAGTTTTCCACATCGTCCAGACTTCAAAATTCATATATTGCAAAGGGTATAGAAGGAGATAGAATATAATAGTATTTTAGCATATAGTATCCAATCCGTGCTCATAGGAATAAGGAGAGATTCATTGGGTTCATAGGAAAATATTAAAAGGTTATGAGGTGCACAGGCAGGGTAAAGGATCTGTTATCTCCAAAATTCCTTTGTTCCCTTGTCCCGAAACACTCAAGTCATTAGATCATTATCCAACTGTTGTGATTGTTTTGAGACAAAAGGACATGGATTTGGGATAGAGGATCCTGTGCCCACCAGGACGAGAAAAGTTAAGGGTCATCAACAAAATGCTCAATTAGGTCAATAATATCTTAGATTCAGATCATTGTGCAATAAAGATAAAATGGGAACAGAGCTACTTTGAAAATATGAGCACTTAGGCACCCAAATTATTTTGATAATAACTTATAATTAGTTAAATAAGTGACCTTGTGCTCAAGCACTATGGGTTACCTAAAACTTCAGGGGTGGGCGGTAACACTTTTGTAGTTAAAACCTATTTTGGTGGTTACTTAGTTTTAAAGCAATAGGTATCAATGTAGTATTACTCTATTGTTCTAAAGGTTTCAAGAGCAAATTTACAAGGAATGGCTGACTTTAAGGCCAATTGTACTCATGTAAGTACTGCGAGACTTTGATATAGTGGTTGGTTTCCAAATCCGTAAAATAAATGCAACCTTTTAAATCAAGGATGTACCTGGATTATTTGCTTGAAACCTGATAGCAACCCATCCATTTTTGGGAACACGAAAGGTATTCACTTGCGGTGGATCAACCAAGTTAAATGTATTCGGGTCGCTCACATTGTCATAACTCCCAGGCCCTGACCCAACCACATAAAAGCTGTATCCATGCATGTGCATTGGATGGTTCTCTGCTCCGCGCAGGACATTGCTTTCTTGGAACACTACTTGCACTGTTTCATTGTAGTTCAACATCTTCACCATGGTTGCTATGGTTGGTATAGCAGTGCTATTCGGCAAATTATCACCCGTAAAGTTATAATAGTTCAATGGGAAGTCGGGAAAATCAGCACTGTAAACCCCAGATATGTTTCTGCATAGAGGCATAAAAAAAAAATAGTTATTAGTGGTGACAGAACAGAAGAACTGTGAAGTTGCTATTGGTAGAGTTAGACTAAAAGATCTAAACCCAAGTTGAGCTTGTGTTGTCCATGAGCTCAAGTTGTCCCTTTAAATAAACAAATAATATATACATATATATATATATATATATATTTAATGCTGTAGAGAAAGAAAAGCTGTGTCAAAATAAAAGAAGACTACACATGCAGCCAAAAGATGGTCAGCCACAAATCACAAGTAAGCCACACAAATGAGAAAAGTAAAAATATTACCTCACGTAAAAATTAGCATTTTCAAATTATGTTGAATTAATTTAAGATTCCTTTTCATTGCCCCATGCTTCTTGTAGTAATGTAACTGTAAAATATAGATATATATCGGAGAGAAAACAAGAAAGTAAAAGGCAAAAGAACAATGGAGCATACCGGTAGTAGGCGAGCAGTACATCAGTACTTGGGTTTAGAAAGGTCATGTTGTTCATGGCCGAACCCATCTGCATTCCAATTTCGCATTGACTCTTGTTGCAAAGGATCCCTGCCACGGAAACAACTATATACATAGGGTGAGTTATGTTTATTGGCACTGATACAGGGTGTTCTTTGCTGGCTAAGCTCCTTAGACGGGCCAAGTACGCATTTGCTTGAGTGATGTTTATGTAAGAAGGAAGCTCGGAGGGAAAGACAGGGGAAGATGGGGGAGTATAGTTGCCTCTGTACTCTACAATCGCTGTATTAGGAGGATAAACATCGGGATAACCGTTGGTAACATATTGTCTAATTGCCATATAGTAGTAACCAAGAGGTTGATTTGCTGTGAGTAGTACATTCACAGTTCCCATCCATTCCTACAACTGTGACATTGTGATCAGCAATTGCAAAGAACAATTCCGAGCTCACAGCTGCATTGATTAGACGGAGAAGATAGGTCTTGCCATAATCGACATACAATCGATACTGAGTTTCTGCAGCACAAAAATAAACGTCAGCAAATGATATTATTATGCATCTGCCACATACTTTTTGGCCTTTATTAAAAGGGATTGAATTTTTAAAAGTGCAATGATCTATTATTACACTTTGTGAATACTTTAAGCCAGATTACAACTTCAAAGGCAAAATTATGTTGCCTAAGATAAAGAATGAAGTGCCGAGAAAAAAGAAAAGAAAAAGAAAAGACAAAGATACCAATATAAATTCAAATTTAAACAGTGTAAAAATTTTGACAATTCAAAATACAACAGTTCTCCTAAAGTATAGCGTTTTCTCATAAAATACAGTAAAACACTTCCCACTTTGAGGAGTCTCCATCACATGATACCAAATTCACGGTAAGATCATGTATAATCATCTCAGCACATGACTACTGTATATGCAAGGGTTTCACAAGAGTGACAACTAGGATATGGACACAGTGGGAATACGGAAAAAAAAAATTAAAAATTAGTTATATATTTTTTTAATATACTTTTATTTACTATGTATATATGAATATAAATTTAGCATACATAGATATGAGAGACATCGATGTATATTTGGATATGTCTTTAATTTTTCCTACTTTTCCCTCTTTATTTTCTTATATTTTATTTTAACCCCAAATCAACTTTCTAAAAGTTTAAAAAAAA